CGAACTTTAAAATTTTTTCGATGTGGCACACATGATCACGTGCCGGTGAAAATTTTGGTGGCGATCTAGGGGAAGATGTCGGTATAATAAGCCAAATTGTATGTTTACATGTAGAGTCACGGGATATTTCGGAAAATTTTTATTTACGGATTATTTCGGAAAAAATTTTTTACTTTATAAAACTTTCCTTTACTCCCCCTTCTTCCCTCATTCGTGAGAGGGTGACGTAAAACAGAAAATTAAATTGGTCTGGCCTAATTTGAAAATCTTAACCCTATTAAGATTGCATAGTTTAGCAAATTAAAGTAGACTTGCTTTAATATTTTATATTTATAACTAGGTGACTTGCTTTAATATTTTATATTTTAACTAGGTGAATTGCTTTAATATTTTATATTTATAACTTAGATATCAATGATCAAGTGTTTTCGTTTAAAAGTTACAAATAAAAACAGTTATGGTTACAAAATACTGAGCCTAATTTCAACTAAATAGCTTTGTTCTAATTGCTAATTGTATATCCAAATCACCCCAATTTTATCTTCTGTTCAAATAATCTCTTCAACATGTATCATGTACGGCTAATGTTTGTCCTGCCAAGTCACAACCTTTATTATGAATCAATTATTTTTTTAGTTTATTAACAAGTCCTATTTTGGCAAAGCTTTTTAGTCTACCAACAAATTCTATTTGGGCAAAGATTTTTAGTCTACCAACAAGTCCTATTTGGGTAAAGATTTTTAGTTTATCAACAAGTCCCATTTTGGTTAAAGATCTTTAGTTTGCCAACAAGTCCTATTTGGGTAAAGACTTTAGTTTATCAACAAGTCCTATGTTGGTTAAAGGTCTTTTAGTTTGCCAACAAGGCCTATTTGGGTGCTTTACTTATTTGTGCTGGTAATACAATCCAAAAAGGAATTTTATTTGTGAATAAACAAAGTGCGTAAAACACAAATCTGGGGTTAGGATGTTAATATTAGAAGCTATAGCAAGACTGTCAACCATTAAATGTAAAATTTCGTTTCAGACATTTTTAATTAATGCACAGAATTCATGTCGGGGCAGATTTGGAACGATAAAAGTTTGGTCTCACTGATTGGCTTTTCCTTTTTAGGAGATTGTATTACCGGCTCCAATTTTTAGCGTTACGTTACGTAGTTTTCAACAAGTCCTATTTGCGTAAAGATTGGCACTTTTTGCCATCTTTAGTTCAAAATGTTAACACATCTTATTAAGGTAAAAATCTACATTTAACACGTCCTTTTGTGGTAAAAATCTACATTTTAACACGTCCTCTTGTGGTAAAAATCTACATTTTTTTTCGCTATTTTATCTCATTTATTACATTATTATCGTCACTATTGTTGTTATTGTTGTATGAGCAATGTTTGATCACCAGGACTAGGATGGAGATATTGACAACGTCGCACTGCCCATATTATTTTTAAGACAGCAACACTATCAGCCTATACGACAGGCCTTAACATCACGATGTGACTAATAAGTGCCAACATAATGTGTCCATGTGGTTACGATGTCCTTTAATTTAGTAAGATGTATATATATAAGCGATTAATTCTTGACTTTAATTTCCCTTTACAGAAAATAAATAATGAATCAATATCTCTTCGTCAAATATCGATAAATTACAGTTGGATTTTATCGTATGCATGCTTTCTCTAAATATTCTTCATGATTGATAGTACAATATTCCAAAACTAATGCCAGTTTCTTTATTAAATTTTATCCTAATAAAAGATAATTGTTCTTAAGATTATATGGTCCCTGCAGTTATTACATAAGCCAACACTAGACCATTATGACTTATACTATCCTTTCTTACAAGAATAAGAGTAGGTTATTGTTAAACAGTACGCCAGAACTTCCTAATATGTAATACATATGAAGGGAATGTTTACCCGAATCTCTTGCAGTATAAGTAGCACACATTCAAACAATTAATAATACTTATTGGTGTCACTTATATCCCAAGTGATCCACTTACCCTATCCGGTTACGCCTGAAACCGAATTTGGCGCATTAAGCATTCACGTAACACGCCCTATTATAGTCAAGCTTTAGATTTTTTTTATTTTTTATCATCCAATCAATTTCTATTCCGTTGTTACAACTTACAATTACACGATAAAAAGACTGAACTTGTATGTTTACTTTTCGTGTAATATACTTTTTAGTTTATTGGAACTGATCTAACTCGATCAATTTATACCAAAAATGAGTGTGTTACGATCAAAATTTGCCGCGCACACGTAAGTACTTACCAAAAATGAACATGTTGCAATAATATAATCAGCATATCAACATTCGTTTTACATAATTCCCCTTTCAAAAAAAAGCATGTTTGTGATTTACAAGTTTTAAACAGGTTAAATAAATTCACGTAGTACGTGCTGATACGGTATCAAAATTACTTGGTTTATGAACTGCATATCTCAAAAAATGTGCGAAAATAGTTTCGAGTGAATCTCGATCCAACACGATAATATTAAGAAATTTCAAAGTAATTTAATTTTTTTATACACACGAACAATTTATTTAAACAATCGATCTAGCAAAGTATCGATATAATAAAAAATAAATAATAAATAAAATATAAAGACAAGTCATAATAAAATGATAACGACAACACTACCAGTACCTCAATCGAGGATTCGGCAGCTTGAAGAAGATAATGATCGAAAAATAAATGACTTTACTCTTTATGTAATTCAATATAAAGAAGAGCTCAAAAGGAATTCATCTCATAATCTTCGTGATCATAATCTTCGTGAAAAAGTTATTATTCTTAATGCCACCAAGGCTTATCGAGATAAACTTGGATCCAAGAGCGAAAATATACAGATATCGCTAATAGCATAGCAAGACGTCGAATTAGGTGCAACTTCGAAAGAAATTGAATTGGATAAATTGCGACTTCTCAATGAACTCAGTACTATATTTGGTCCAAAGAAAGAGATTTTCGTTCATGATAATGCTTACTTAATAATATTAAACTAAATATTTGTACATTATATATAAAAGTATCGATTTATATTTCTGTATTTTAGGACACAAAATTAATTCAAAATCCATAGATTTTACCCACCCTTGAATATGTAGTATACTGTATAATAAAAAAAATTCTTTTTCATATGGTCATGTTGCATTAGTTTGACCGAATTTTCATGTCTACTTTTTTTTTTAAAAAAAAAATTATTGATTTATATACAACTAGTAATAAAACTGCGGCGTTTCATAACGTTGGAACACTAATTTACATAAATTGTTAATATATGAATAATAAATTTCAGGCAGCATTTCATAAGATGCATGAGAACAGGTATAAACACAAATTCATGAAGTTACAAAAAAAGTAATCTTTGCTCTCCAGTTAATTTCTGTTATAATACGTATGCTTTTCCTATTTATTGAAATTTATCATAAGAAAACCATTAAAAAAAATATCAGAAAGAGCGCGAACCTCTTCGTTCTTCAGGTGTCAAAACCAACCATTTTATTCTAATATCATTGTTTTAATCCTTTGTTCAGACGTATAAATTCATCTGTTTTGGTATTTAGAAGATTTCAATATAATAAATTATTTACTTTTATCGATATTATTTTTAAGAGAGATTTTTTTAATAATTGAACTTCTGATTAAAATTTCTGCAATAGTTCAAAACAATATTTATTCAGGTAGAGTGATGAGGTCCGGATATTGTCTGAATTTAGTAAAGCATAGAAAGGCCTTCCGTTCCATTTCTCTTTGCTCCAGCCCAATTACTTAAATTCACATAACGAATAATTATGACTTCATTAGTAATTTGGACGCTAACCAGTATTCCTAACGAGTAACAATTATATTGTAAGAATTGTAAGAATTGTAAGAATTGTTACCTTTAACTGTAACTTGAATAAAAATGTGAAATACGCCTGCATTCACATATATACATATTTGTACGATTTAAACATTTGTACAATAGAAAATCTCAAAATTGTATATAAAAAGATAATTTTTACACATTTGATAGTGAATACCTTTTAAATGGTAGATCAATCAATAATTTACATAAACTCTAACGACAAAATGACTTTTGCGAAATCAAGTGGTAATCGAGAAATAGATGCTTTTTTACAAAGCACTGATGGTGTATTGCAATGGTTTCCTTATGAACAATTCGAAAACCCTAATGAAATTGGGAAAGGTGGATTTGCCAACATATTTCATGCTGGATGGAAAAACGAAATGTATGAATCTGAAATTGTGCTTAAGGAATTTCTTGATTCGGAAGAAATTTCGCAAAAATTCTTGAATGAGGTATTATAATCACTAAGATTCGTGAATATTGTGAATTTTTTATATAAAATTTATTCATATTTATTACGTTTATGATTAGATAATTGCCCTTCATAAATGCATGAAGAAAGATGATAATTTAATTAATTTTCTGGGATGTTATGGAATGTCCCAAAATCCAAAGACAAAAAATTATATAATTGTAATGCAATATTTTGAAAAAGGCTCCTTAAACCGTAATTTAGGTGACGTAGTGATGAAAAAATGGAATGAAAAATTGAAAATGATTAGCCAAATTGCAATGGATTTAAAAACAATTCACGCAGTTGGCCTCGTACATAAGGATTTGCATTCGGGGAATATTTTGCAAGATAACCTTTTCAATTCTTATATTTCTGATATGGGACTCTCTGGACCTCCAAATGCTAAAAGTAATGGTGACGGTATTTATGGTGTATTACCGTATGTAGCACCTGAAGTTTTACGTGGTGGCTCATATTCGAAGGCATCTGATGTTTATTCATTTGGGATAATTATGTGGGAATTTACTGCTGGCAGACCTCCATTTGCGAATAATGCACATGACAATGTTCTTCAGCTTAATATTATTAATGGATTGCGACCTACGATTATTAATGGAATTCCACAATGTTATATCGATTTAATGAAGAGTTGTTGGGATGAAGACCCAAATAAACGTCCAACCGCTGAATACATATATAACACTCTAGAAAAGTGGATAGATGAATACGAAAATCACAAACAATTTCTGAAATCTGATGAAATGACCAACACCAACAATATGTTCTCGTTCGAAATTCATCCAAATGCATTCTATACTAGCAGATTCATAAATACTTCTTATAATTACTTTATGCAATCTGTATTTCGAACTATTACACCAGGTATATATATAAATATATACATATAATGTTATATTTCAACTTTTTCCAGAATTCCCTTAACTAATACGTATTAAAAATGCGTTGGCTCAATTTGATTAGACTCAAAAATTATTGACTTAGGAATGTCACGTCTTGTGAGCGCTTATTTAAAAAATCCCACAGAAAAAACTGCAGTTTCAAAACGCCAACAAACGATCTCACCAAAAATCATAGCAAATATTCATGTAATAGTAGAATGGTATATAGCATTATATAATGATATAATCGACCATTTCGCAGACAGCCATTTTGCTAGCAGGTTTTGGTCCGATTTAGTTGTGTTGACCGTGAAGTGGCGAAATGGTTGTCGGCTAATTTTATATGATTAATGTTATACTGTCAAATACAATAAAGTCTCTCTAAATACATAGAGACCACACACTTTTAATTTCTTGCATTTAGAAAACAACAAGAAATATTTCTTTTATGAGAATCTAGTATGTATTTGGCTATAATTAAAGGTTGCATTTCGAGTAGTGTTTGAATTGACTGTATTATTGGCACGTATAACTTAACAAATTATTAAATAGCATGATAAATACATATTAGTGCATAATTAAACAACGTCGAAAATAATATCATCTAAATTGTTTTGTTTATTTGTTTATTGCAAACTTTTCTGGAAACTTCTTATAATGAATCCAAGAATCACATCATATGTAATCTATAGTAATCGTAGTAAAAAAAAAAAACTTAATTGGTAGAACACTGCCTGGCTTTAGGAATTTTTCCATAATGCTTGGATTGGTGTCCATAATTTAATAAAATTTTATCGTCTTAATATCATATAATCAGTTCTCAGCGCCATTAAAAATATAAAAAGTAAAATTATCCAAGTATGAACGCAAATGCCATTTATGTTATTCTGCATTTTATTCGTAATATTAAGATTACATATAAAAATATTTATTTTTTATATGTTGGTCGATCTCATTAGCAAAGCAATAAAAGAACTCTTTCTTTATCACGCATTATAGAGAATTTTAACAACACCTCTAAAATAACTTCTCGAATGTATTGCAGCATTTGTTCAGAAAGAATTAGCTCAGAGAGTCTATCAAAAATGCTGATATGACAATGCAACAACCACATTATTTCAACTACCACTGTGAAGCCGACCGTTTGGGGAAAAGCAACTCAAATTTATGCACAGGTTAACGTTAGTCGTAACTTTAGCTTGAATTCTGTAGTTATCTAAAGTTGGAAATTGACAAAAGATTTATCGTATTACTGAGCTAACCTATTAGATATTGAGAAGTTGAGAAGCCTTAAAACAAGCATTACACTTTATTGACAGGGCCATTGGAACTTTTTACAAAGTTTAGGTCTCTATAATATGTGATCCTTTGGGAAGCTTTAAGTTACCACCTTCCCTCCTTTATTACCTGCGAGTCTAGAATATGCAATTACAGAATAAATCAAAAAAAAAGTTTAGAATCAGTATGATATTCACCAAATCTGCAGTGCTGGAAACTTTTCGTAAGTCTAGGGATTGGAGCCTAAAATTTTTCTAAACATTTAGCTGGTGTTAATCGGTTAATTTAGCCAGCATTAAAATTATTCTTGCCCACGACCAACATAATTCGGCCTGGAATTCTGAACTAATTTTTACTTGATTAAACAGCTCCAATCAGTCTTGATATCCAAACACTTACATCAACTTATGCGTTGAGAGTTCTTAACAAAGGCTTTATTCTAACCAAATATCAAACATATTCCCAAAAATCAAAAAAAAAAATTATAAAGAGGGAGATTAATATTCATGTTTATACAACTTTAATAATTATTAAAAGTTATAGGATTTTAATTACGTTTACATTCATACCATATATATTTTATTGTATGACTTCACTATTGTTACGACTAGAGGTTGGAACCGGTTTTAATAATTCGGGTTTATCACGTGAATTTTGTGATATTTTAGAATTTATTAAATTTTAATTGGATTAAATTCTAAAATATCATAAAATTCATGTGATAAACCCGAATTATTAAAACCAGTTCCAGCCTCTAGTTACGACGAATATCCAATTTTTTTAGGGTATTGTTCTTGCAAACCGCATCTGCCAATGCTCTTCCTCCTTCTGATTCAAGATTATTCGATTTAAAATTCAAATTATTCAGCGTGGTATTCTTGCAAAGTGCATCTGCCAATGCTATTCCAAGATTGTTCGATTTAAGATTCAAATTATTCAGCGTGGTATTCTTACAAAGTGCATCTGTCAATGCTTTTCCGACATCTGATCCAAGCCCATTCAATTCAAGTTTTAAAAAGTCAGCGAAGTATTCTTGCAAAGTGCATTTGCCAATCTTTCCCTCCTTCTGATCCAATTTGATTATAATAAAGATTTAAAAAAGACAGAGTAGTGTTCTCGCAAAGTGCATCTGCTAATGCTTTTCCTCCTAATCCAAGGTTATTTAAACTAAGATCCAAAGTAGTCAGCGTGGTGTTTTTGTAAAGCGCATCAGCTAATTTTTGTCCTCCGAATTGTCCAAGATTATTCGGACTAAGATTTAGAGAAGTAAGCGTGCTGTTCTCACAAAGTGCTTTTCCTCCGAATGCTCCAAGATTATTCCAACTAAGATCCAAAGAAATAAGTGTGGCGTTCTTGCAAAGTGCATTGTCTAATACCTTACCGACGTCCGGGCCAAGATTATTACTATGAAGATTCAAAGAAGTCAGCGAGGTGTTCTTACAAAGTGCATCCACTAATGCTTTTCCTCCTTCAGATCCAAGATTATTATCACTAAGATTCAAATCTTTCAGCGTAGTGTTCTTGCAAAGGACATCTGCTAATGTTTTTCCGAAGTCTGCTCCAAGATTATTATCACTAAGATTCAAATCTTTCAGAGTAGTGTTCTTACAAAGTGTCTTTATTAACTCGTTTATTTTTTCCGATCTACGACATTTAGAAGGAAGATACGTACCATGATGCATTCATTTGATCTCTATAATCACACTGACTGTTCTTGAGAATTGCTTGTTTAAAACTTTCGTGCGCTTCTCTTCTGATATCATCAATGCTACAATCTTGCATTGTAATGTACAAATTTATTGCATTAGGTAAATTAAGCGGTGATGAAGTCGTAATATCGAGTGAATTTTCAGGTGCGGTTTGATTATCCTGACTTGAGGAAGTATCGTTATTTTGAGCTGATGCTTCAGTGTGAAAATGTTGATTCAAAGTTTCGTTAGGAATAAGTTGATTTAAAGTATTGAGAATTTCTTTTGTTTCTGGACGAATGGCAGGATCATTGTCCCAACATCGTTTGTAAAGTTCAATATTGAGGAGGTGTATCCTCTATAGGTTCCTCTCTATTTCCTTGAAATATGTGAAAACAGAGGGCCATTTTTGATTCAAAGGTTTGAAATGGTGGCCTTCCGCTAGAAATTTCCAGTAAGATTTCTTATCACGCTTATATTTTTGATCGATAAGGCATTTAGGTTCCATATACGCCGGCATTCCATGAACGATTGAATTTGAAGCCATGGACATTTCATTTATCTGCTTCGATAACCCGAAATCTGCGATCTTTGCTTGTCTTTGATGAATTAAGATATTCTTCGAATGCTAAGTTGTTAGAATATTAGTAAATTAATATATATATACTGTATATATATATGCTAGTAAGTTCTATAGTACTTACAAGGTCTCTATGAATAATATTATTATTATGCAAAAATAAATGCCCAAGTGCTATTTCCTTTGCAATACGTAGTCTATCTGTCCATTGCAATCTTTCAAAATTTGCTTTTAAGTATTCTCGTAAATTCCGTCATCAGCATACTGTAAAACCATATTATAACATCCATTGTTATCTATTTAAATTGTTTATTGTTTTATATAAATTCAGAACCTGTAGATTGCAGCATTGAAGAAGTTCGTTTTGATTGGCTAAAATTAGAATAAATATGATTGGCGACGATCATTTATTTATACAGTCAATTATAATTTTTAAA